AAACTCTCAAACCTTCTTCTGCTTCTAAAAAGCCAGTGTAGAGGGGCTTTCATAACTTCGCCCCTATTGCAGTCACAGATTCTTCCAAATATCCCCATCAGCCAAGATGGCTTGTTAATTTCTACTTTTTGTAGTTTTTATCATGTGAGCATTTTTATTTACATGACAAATTTATATCTTACCTTTATATTGATCTGCTTTACCAATTACCACCCCTAAGATTCTGACATGACTCCTGAGGGGACATGGTTTAAGTATTTAGACTCCTAGTGACATGACCCATTAATATTGCCAAAAGAGTTGTGGAAACTCTCTTTGTCAGGACGAAGCATAAGAGGGGCTCAGTGTGGAGGGTTGGGAGAGTCTCAGCCCAGGGGTCCATGGGTGAGGGAAATGGCTACATGAGTCTGTTGGGGAGGAAGGAATTTATCAAGTCCCATAGGATTCCTGACTTAATTAGATCAACCTCACTCTTAAATTTTTAAAATTATAATGCATGAAATTCTTAATAATAATACCTACAATGTGGGAGTGCTTCATATTTGTTTATTCATTTAATCCTCACAACTCACTGAGAAGCTGAGGAGCTCATTTGGCAGATGAGAAAACCAAACCTCTGAGAGTTACAGGGCTGGTGAGTTGTGGGGCCAGGGCTGCATCTCGCAGCTGTCTGACTCCAGAATTTTGTCTTAACAGCAACATTTTACTGCCTCATGGATGAAATTCGTATGTAATGTTGAAAATACCTAAAGTGGTAGCAGTCTAGAGAGTCACAGGTACCCTGAAAACTGGAAGCCATTTGTGTTTGGGACTTCAGAAGGCCAGAACTTATTGCTGCTGGCTCTCACTGTGCTGTGTGAATCTGGAGAAATTATTGAGTACTCTTTKGTTTTTGTTTATGTCTCTTTAATAGTGATCTCTAAACTATTTGACTATAAATCTCATGGGGGGGGAGTTTGAGCATACTAGTTCACTAAGTGTCTGCCTCTTTATAAAATGAAAACATATAACACTGCCTTAACATAGTGCAGATATTGAAAATATTTACAAAAACAGAAATTTTTCAAAAGAATGAGATAAAGTTACCATGACTCTGCTCTCATTAATATTTTTAGTTAGGACCCTATGACTGATCCAAATTGTCCTTATTTTTACCTCGTGACAGATAAATAAAAGAGGTGTCTGCTCTGCATCTTTCTGTTGTTAACTTGTGCTTATATTTTGTTATTAGCGTTACTCTTTGATTCCGTTGGAAAAATGTTTCTTCATTACCTACTTGTGTCAGATTTAAGTGTACTCGAACTTAAATGGTATAACCCATAAATTCACAAAACCTGCCACAAAGAAACTGTAGTTACAGTATGTCCCAGTACACTGACAGCAAAACCAAAATATGGTGGTGATGCTATCAATCCTCCAAATGGTGGCATTTCCAGAGATTCTCTCCTCTGTTTTCCAGAACACCTGACCTCCTAATATGTGGACTGAGAAACCAATGTTGATCCATTTGTTAAACACTAGTGAAGCTTAACTTCTGTCTTATTTTACATTGAATAAAGCTAAATTTGGATATTTCCTTACTGTGAAGATGATCTTGCAGGTCCACCAGGTACAAGCACTTCATTTTAGAGACTGCTGATCTATAAATGTAGATATCACCCCCCGTACACACACATACAGGAAAAACGTAAGGGTCAATGGTATAAATTCCATTACACATTATGAACTACCCAGTAAACAAGTTAAAAGGCCTTTAAGAAAAATATTTTGGATCTTTCTACTATTTTTTTGCTCTAGGATCTGAGACAATTTAGAGTGTGGCTGAGGGTAACCAAACCAGGGAATCAGATTAAGAGTGAGCTCCCTGTGCTTCTGAAGAATCCCAATTCCTGCTGTACCTTTGACACTGAGGTCAGTCCTGGGACAGATGGAGAGGGTACTTTGTTGGAACTGCAGGTCAAGTAACCAGATAGGTCTCAGATCCATTCAGAACATTCCTCTCCGAATTCTCTTTCCCATATCAGCTCATCTAGGCTATTTTAATCAGCTTGCTTCACCAGCTGAACCCAGGTCTCTAACAGAGAACAATCTTGAGCTGACCCAGACAAGATCATCCTATGCCTTGGATCATAGAAGCAACCCCTAGAGAGCATGAGCTGAGTTCCAGCCCCAGCCCCAGGGTTTTGGATGGAAGTGAGTCAACTATAGGAATGCAGTGAATTCCACATTTAGCCCCAAGTTAGTCACCCTCACAAATAGCAATGGGGGCTGGGGCTCTTGCTCCACCTCCTTTATAGCTGCAAAGAGTGAACAGTGGCATAGGCCTGAGCACAGGGTAGGCCAGTCTGGATTAAYCAGGGAAATTTAGGACTAGTTAAATCCCTGATCTGGCTCTAAGGACTGGCCAACTTCAGCGCGGTTGAAGTAAAATACTCTACAAAAAAAAAAAAAAAAAACCCACAAAACACTGTATATGACATTTTGGCATAATTGGGGGCTCTCTTCAAGTTACAGCAAAAAAAACAAAAAAAAAAAAACTAAGTCCTATGGCAAGTGGGGCGGCATATACCTTTAATCTCAGCAACTTGGAAGGCTGAGACAGGAGGATTGCAAGTTCAAGACCAACCTGGGTAACTTAGTGAGAACTTGTCTCAAAATAAAAAATAAAAAGGGCCAGGGATATATCTCAGTGGTAGGGTACCCATGAGCTCAATCTTCACCCAGTACCACGAAAATAAATGAAGACTTAACTATAGAATAATTAAAGGAAAAATGACATGAAAGAATCTACGTTTCAAAAAAGTCCAAGAAATACATAATCCAACAATAAAAATATAACTTAAGTGACCTGAAGGTAAGAAGTTTGCAAGTCTCTGAAGTATGGTTCATGCCAACTAGAACTCCTGTAGCAAGGCAAGCCAGTCCATGAACAAACATTCTTCTGCTGAAATAGTTCCATAGTAATTACTTTTTGGAATAGGAAATTCTTGCACACCGCCGTTTCATTTAAATTCAAAAGTTAAGACAGAGCATAGAATAAAAGTCTTCCTAACCACCTTGTTCCTCTCAACTCAGAGAGGGTGAGACAGTTCATCTTTATTGGCTGACAAATTAGTGAATTATGGGTGAGTTGGTTTGGCTTGTGAGCGAGGGCAGTAATCCAAGAACAAATTCCAGCAGAATGAAAAATTTGTTAATGAAGACTTAAAAAAAAATGCTTCCCTGAACATGCAATGTAACATCAGGAGCATTAGCATCAGAGATGGAGCAAGAGTGGAAACTAGAGAGTTTATCAGTGCTCAATAGAAAAAACACTGGCTGAGTGGGAAGAGAGAACTGGACTTACCTTCTCTTAATTTTCTACAGGACAATTGGGAGCTCTTGACCACAAAGATCTTCCTGTAAGTGTCAGGGTTGGGGTTTGGCATAAAACTTAACCTGAATTACCCAGGCACAGCTGGCCCTAATTATTACAAAATCACATGCAACAAGGACTTCCCTTGGCACTGGATCACCCCCAAACCATCGGGTATAAAATCTAGTATTGTCCATGATTTTTCCCTTTCKTCTGATGTACTTCTAGATCCTTCCAGCCACCAGACTGCTTTGCAAAAGAAGCTCCTTTATGTCTTAACCATTACTAGTCTAGGTTCCAGGAACCAAGAAATGATGTAATTTGAGGAATTGCCAGCAAATCTCCTTTCCCATGGGGTAGGTGGTGAGAAGGTGGTGAATTGTTCATTTAGTGCCTGTTATTTTCCATTTCTTACTCATTTAATAAAAGATATACGTCCATCCCTTTTCAATTTTCCATTTATTTAAGAAACATCATGAAATGAAACTATTAAAGCTGTGTATCCTGGTCCTAGCCATTTTAGAAATCTTTAACTTCAAAAAAGGGGAAGTGAGAGAAGTGATGGTATTTTACTAGGCAAAAATGTAAAAATATACCTTTATAAATGAAAATTTAAGAAATGTGAAGAGTCATAGATAGCTCCCAGCCCTAGTTTATGAATCTCTGAAATGTCTCCATTTTATAATGCTCCCCCATCACCCTCCTGCAAATAACTTTCTTGTAATTTAAATAATAAAGGAATGTGACTTATGCTATCTGGGTATTATGACACCAAGCAAATGGTAACATGGAAACTCACCGTGTCTCTGGTCAATTGACGATCTGGGGGTTCTTTTGACTCCCCAGATTCATTTATTCACACAGCACATCCATAACTTTTAAAATGGTATTTAGAATATTGTCTGAAAGTGGTATTGCTGATAGTTGGGTCAAATAATTCTATAATATTTGTTACAAAAAAATAAAAGCTGTCCTTCATTCCTTTGAAGTTATCATTTTCAATGCTTCTAAATTATTATTTTCATGTTTACCTCTGGTTTTTCATTTTAAAAATGAGTCCTGATATTTCTATTTGATTTTTTAAAAATGGCATCATCTATTGACATCCTACTACAGAAGAGTCAGAGTTAGCTTAATTTCARTATTCCCTACCCAGCTCCCACTCTCACCCCCATTTCCCGTCTTGCCCCATTCTTCCATCATAGACATTTGGGAAAAGTCAACATTTAATTGACATTGCATTCATGATATACACTCATTGACATCTGAGCCATTTAGAAAACTGCAATTACTTTTCCTATATGGCTACTTGTGTCCTTTGGACAAATCTCTGTAGAGTTAGTCATAGTATAATGGCTTGATAAGATTTTTTTTCATATATTTATCACTAATATGTCTACAAACTTTCTTTATTGCATAAATCTTCTCTCTACCTTCACACCCTTAGTAGCCAACAGTTTTATTTTCTGGAAGAATTTTATCCTGGAGTATCTTACCAGCTGGTGAGGAGGCAGGTTTCTGGCTGAGTGGAGTGGCAGAGGGTGCCCTACTCCTCTGTAAGCAGACTTTCAGCCGCAGTTGTTCTGTGTTCAATTTCACTGTCCCTCTTCTGCTTCTAGATGTAACAAGCGCTGCAAATTCCCAGGCCATTCAGAGTTTCTGGGTGCAAATCAAGGTGCTCCTCAGCTTCACCTACTGTGGCTTAGGATTCAGCTTTCTTGAATGTGCTGGGTAAGTTATCCTGTGTCCTTCTGATGACTTGTTCTAAAAATTTTGTTGCCATGATTGTTTTTCTCTTTCTATTTGTACTATTATGTGCTATTGAATATGTATGCTTTAAAAAAATCTCTTTTCCCATTTTTCTTTTCAGTATTGAACCCAGGACCTTATACATGCCAGGCAAGCTCTCTCTCACTGGGCTACATCCCCAGCCTGTTTTCTCTCATCTTAATATTGTCTGGACTGTTATTTACATAATTGTTTCTATGGTGACTTGTTTTTATATTTTTAATTCATCCTAATGAATAGTATTAATGAGATGATGGTTGGATATAGGGAGTTTTTCTAAAGTACATTAATACATTTTAAAAAGAAAAAAACATGTGACGTCCTACCAGTGATATGTACTTCACTTAGGAAAGCACATGATGGTCCAGTACAGAAAGTAAAGTCCAGGGAATTAGATGGTCTGGCTGTAGATTTAGCAAATGGCAGATGTGGGACATTCTTTGTGTCTCTTGAGTTCCCTACTGGCACTTTACCATGAAGCCATATTGTCCAGGTCTCTATCTAGATGTACCCATTGACCATGTATCTTACCATGTACCCATGTCATCTGCTACCATTTAACCTGTTATCCCGTTATCAAATTATCTCCCCCCACCTACCCATGTAACAGATCTTGCTTGAAGCTAATGGTTGCAAGTTTGCTCCCCTTTAACCTTGAAAAGGGAGATGTGTTGATGGAAAGATAATGAAGTCAGTATCCCTTCTACTCATCTGACAAGAATGGCTATTCATTAAGCAAGCAAATTTTCCAATGTGGCTTCCAAAAATCGTGTTCATTCCTAAATGAATATGGAAGGGCACCGAAGAAGTACATTTCCTTCGCTATGCCACATAGGGGACCTCCATGTCACAGACCTCACATATTTCCCTCACAGAAAGTAGTACTGTTTGTAAATGGCAGAATCCATTTGTAAACATAATTTGTTCCAAACCCATCATTTAAATAGAAATGGCTCAAAGCCAGCATTACTTCAAGCATAGGAATTCTCACATCGTTAGTCCTCACCAACAAATTCCACAGTACCAAATTTAGCTGGGTGAGACCAGCATGATGCTGAAAATACTTCCTCTGCTGTTATTTGGCATTGTTTAATAAAAGAGGAACAGATGTTGAACCACAAAAAAAGGTTAAATTTTGAAATTACAAATGCCATTATAACTATTTAAGGCCAGAATAAAAGACACAAATTTGAGATGGATACAGTCATTGAAATAGCACATTAGAGTTTGTTTTAACAAGATTTGATCATGTAATATATTTCATACTATTTCTTTGTATTGTACATAATATACATATTAGCTCATAACAATCTTACTTCAAATAATCTTATTCCACTTTACAGTATAATAATTTTACAACAGTACACTTCTATTTCTTTCTTGCCTTTGCAACTATTGTGATGCATTTGCTTCAACATATGTCATGAAGCAGGGAGTGGAAATCCCAGTGACTCAGAAGCAGAGGCAGGAAGATTGCAAGTTCAAGGCCAACTTTGGCAACTTAGCAAGATCCTGTCTCAAAATAAAAAATAAAAGGGGCTGAGGATGTAGCTCAGTGGTAAAATGTCTATGGGTTCAATTCTCAAATATCCAAGTACTGCAAAATAAAAACAAACATACAAACAAAAAACCCTACAGTACACTGTGTTTATTTTTGCTTAAAATGATCAATCATCTTTTAAAGAAATTATTCATATGTTTGCTATCTATGGAACCCTTCATTCATTTGTATAAATAATTTTCTTGTGTAGCAGCTTGCCTGAAATTTTTTAATTAATATTTCTTGTGGGTACAGACTGCTAGTGATAACTTCTTTCAGCTTTTGTTTATTTGAAAAGTTTTAATTTCATTTCTATTTTTGAAACATTTTAGCTGGATATAAAATTCTAGAGTGACAATTTTTCTTTCATTACTTTAAAGATGTAGCTCCATTGTTTTCTGGGTTATGTAGTTTGGGTTTTTTGTTTGTTTGTGTGTGTGTGTGTGTGTGTGTGTGTGTGTGTGTGTTTTTTATTGGTTGTTCACAACATTACAAAGCTCATGACATATCATATTTCATACATTAGATTGAAGTGGGTTATGAACTCCCAATTTTACCCCAAATGCAGATTGCAGAATCACGTCGGTTACACATCCACAATTTTACATAATGCCCAATTAGTAATTGTTGTATTCTGCTACTTTTCCTATCCCCTACTATCCCCCCTCCCCTCCCCTCCCATCTTCTCTCTCTACCCCATCTATTATAATTCATTTCTCTCCTTGTTAATTTTCCCATTCCCCTCACAACCTCTTATATGTAATATTGTATAGCAATGAGGGTCTCCCTTCATTTCCATGCAATTTCCCTTTTCTCTCCCTTTCCCTCCCATCTCATGTCTCTGTTTAATGTTAATCTTTTCTTCCTGCTCTTCCTCCCTGCTCTGTTCATAGTTGCTCTCATTATATCAAAGAAGACATTTGGTATTTGTTTTTTAGGGATTGACTAGCTTCACTAAGCATAATCTGCTCTAGTGCCATCCATTTCCCTGCAAATTCTATGATTTTGTCATTTTTTATTGCTGCATAGTACTCCATTGTGTATAGATGCCACATTTTTTTTATCCATTCATCTATTGAAGGGCATCTGGGTTGGTTCCACAGTCTAGCTATTGTGAATTGTGCTGCTATGAACATCGATGTGGCAGCATCCCTGTAGCATRCTCTGTGTGTGTGTTTTGTATGTTGGAAATCTGCTGTTGTTGTTCCTACATATGTAAGGTGTCTCTTTTCCTCAGGCTGTTTTTAAAATTTCCTTTTAACATTGGTTTTCAACAATTTGTTTATGGTGTGTCCTGGTATATTTATCTCTCTGCCTTTCTTCTCTTGTGTGTGGTACTGAAGATTGAACCCAGCAATGCTTTCCCACTGAGCTGCATCTCCAGCCCTTTTTAAAATTGTATTTTGAAACAGGGTCTTGCTAAGTTCCCCAAGGTGCACTTGAACTTGTAATCCTCCTGCCTCAGCCTCCCAAATAGCTGGGATTATATACAGGTGGACCACACCTATAATATCCAGCTCCTTGGTATGCTTTTCTTAATGTTTATTCTGCTTAGTGTTTGTTGAGTTCCTTGAATCTGTTAGTTTGTAGTTTTCATCAAAGTTGGAACAGTTTTACTTATTATTTCTTTATATATTTTCTCTCTTTCTCATACCATTTCTTGGCCCTTTAATTATATACATGTAGTAGGCTTAGATTATACATGTGAAATCCACAAGTTACTAATGCTCTGTTAATTTTTTTCAGTCTTTTTTCTATCTCTGAYTCAGAGAAATAGTTTCTCTGCCTCCAATGTTGCTTATGTTTTTTTCTGTGATATTTGATTAGTTATTTATCCCATTCAATATTATGCATTCAGATACTGTATTTTTCATCTTTGTTTTATCTGGGTGTTTTTTATGACATCAATTTRTCTTCTAACCAAGTTCAGGTTTTCCTTTACTTTTTTTTTTCCTGCATTATGAGTTTATTAGTATCATCCAGGACTCAGATGTTCAGTATTCATCCTGAAATTACATAAACAAATGCAAATGGAAAGAATCCAAGTCAAAATTATTTAACAAAACAGCCCTTCATCACAAAAGTGTGTGAAATTACATGAACGCTATTTTAAAACACTGGCACTTTAAGAGAATAATAATCTCAAAAAACACAAAATTGTCAAATTGTTCCCTAATCTTCTAAGCAGATAAAGATGACTGTAATAAATGAGTTTGGATTTTGTTAAAATTTTAAAAAAAGAAAAAGAAAAAAAAGATCAAAAAGTTTGATAATTGGTAGAGATGCAAAGTTTTTTCCTCTTGTCTATTTTGATTTATAAATGGGCAAACCACAATATAGGAAAATATACGGGGCTGGGATTGTGGCTTAGCAATARATCACTTGCCTAATATGTGTGAGATCCTGGGTTCGATCCTTGCACCACATAAAAATAAATAAATAAAATAAGGTATTGTGTCCAACTACAACTAAAATATAAAATATAAAAAAGAAAGAAAGAAAGAAAGAAAGAATACCTTACTTCTAACTTGGCCTTGTAATTTTAAAAGTTGGCCCAATTAAGTAAAAATACTTTCAATGGAGTCTCAAGTTTCCTGAGCAGTCCATATTTAGATAAATGGGAAAAAGGCATTTATAGCCAGCACTTTCAGAACCTTAGCTGGGACTAATTTCAACAAAAAAATTTAATATGCCAGTCTTGTATTCTAAATCACGCTTTTGGGGATGCATTCTCAGCTCTCCTTTAATGTGGTAACTGCAAAATATAACTGCCATTACATGGTAATGGGAGTTAAGAATGTGGAGTCCTCAAGTAAAGATCAGAACATACTTCTCTATTAGTCCTTCAAGGACAGATTTTCAGATTGCTTGATTCTAATAATCCCATGCTGTGAATAGAATTGGCTACCCTTCACTTGGTAAATGTAAGTGGGCTATGTGAAATTTGCTATCAACTGATCAAAGTTTTGGAGTTTCAGTGATGGATGAAAATGTCCTCGATTTAACTTTTATTACCCCCATGATGATATGCAGGGTGGGTAGACAAAAAGTTTTTATCATCTAACTGTTTGGTAAGTTAAACACTGTAACAATTCATGGGCTCTCAAATGGGCAGAAGCAAGACTAGCTTTCCCTCAAGAAGAAAAATTTTAGACCTATGAAAGGGACTACAATACTAAATTTTTAAAAATTGTATTTACTTAGACGCATTCAAAATGTCAACAAAACAGCTGCAACATTTTTTTTGCAATTACAGAATGATATTAATATAAATTATTTCATATAACTGCATCAGAGACAACTGGAAGTTGAAAAAACTACCATCACCATATATAACGAACTGGTGCTATGCACCCACAAAAACCTGATTTAAACTTCCATGCCAATTTACAACCCCCATACTGTACCAGGCAAGGCTAGTGGCTATTGAAAATACCACCAGGACAGGCCTGTCTAAAGACACATTCAGTAGAGTGTTAACTAATACCCCCCCACCAAAAAAAAAAAAAATACTGTACAGCTAAAAAACAAATCTTACGCAGCCTTACATTTTAATTTTTTTTTTCTTTAAAAGGAGTGAGTTGTGTACAGGGGGGTTAAATGCTTTAGAGACAAGGGGGAAAAACTGTGCTAGAACCAACTTATTCATCATCATCCTCTTCTTCCTCCTCTTCCTTCTTTTTCTTGCTTTTTAAAGCCTTGACAACTCCCTTTTTTGTTCCATCATGTTTTCCTCTAGCTCATAGGCAGTACCCCTTTTCTTACTTCTCCTTCAGCTTAGCACTTTCTTTTCATAGGCTGCTTGTCATCTGCGGCAGTGTGATGCCACCTCTCTCCCGGTTTCTTTCCCATTGGTGCTCCATCACCAGTGGCTAGGCCAGGATGTTCTCCTTTGATTTTGGGGTGATACTCAGAACAGTATGCTCAGAACAAGAAGAAGGTTGAAGGAAGCCTTTTGGGTATATTGGTTTTGTTTCCCCTTTAGGAGGGATAGAGGTTTTCATTTCTCTTTCATAACGGGCCTTGCCCGCCTTTGCCATATCTTCTAATTTTCCTTTCTCTTTAGCAGACATGATCTTCCACCTCCCTGAGCACTTTTTAGAAAACTCTGAGAAGTTGACTGAAGCATCTGGATGCTTCTTCTTTGTGCTCCTCCTGGTAAGTTTGCACAAAGAATGCATATGATGACATTTTGCCTCTCGGCTTCTTAGGATCTCCTTTGCCCATGTTTAGTTGCTTTTCCTCAGCGAGGCCCAGAGTCGCCCAGTGCCCGTCCAGCTCTCACTTGCCTGGGCGCTGTCTCCATGGAGCTCAAGGTGCTGCCATAGCTGTGACAGCGGAAGCCAGAGGCAGCCTCCTCACCCTCTCAGCTCTACCATATTATTCTCCAGCCAGTGCAACTCTTATTTTTTTCTTTACTTTCTTATAATTCAGCAGCATATATTACATTGATGATTTAATAATGTTCTTATCTGCAAATTCATCATTTCTATAACTTCTGGGTCTGCTTCACAATTAATCATTTTTAATCCTCATTGTGAGTAGTGATTTTCTGTTTCTTTGCATACCCAGTGATTTTTAGAAAATTTTTTGTTTAGTTGCTGATAGACATTTATTTATTTATATGTGGTGCTGATAATCGAATCCAGTTCCTCACACATGCCAGGCAAGTGCACTACCACTGAGCCCTAGCCCCAGCCCCATCCCTGGTGATTTTTGACTGAATACCTGATGTTGTGATTCTACACTGTTAGTTGCTAGATTTTGTTGTATTCTTTTAAATAATATTGAGCAATTCTGGAACAGAATTGTTACTTGGGATCCATTGGATCTTTCAAAGCTTGATTTTAATCTTTGTTGTGGTGAGTTCAGAGCTGCCTATTGTCTAGACTTATCTAGTCCTACTATTAAAACTAAATAAGAAGACTTCTCCCTCTAAGGGCTTTAGGATATCTTTCTACTTTAGCTATGGGAACATAAACCATTCTATTCCTAGTTCTGTGTAAGTTTCAGGAATTGTTAATCCTTTTGCTTTTGAAAGTGATTCTTTCCCCCTCAGAGAGTTTCTGTGTGTGTGTGTGTGTGTGTGTGTGTGTGTGTGTGTGTGTATACATAGGTCAGTACTCAGCTAAAGCTTCAAAGTGATCCCTCTGCAGAGCTCTGGATTGTGCTCTCTCTCTCTTCCTTGCTCCCTCCCTCTCTCTCCAGCTTCCCACCCCCTTTTCTAGTGATTTGACTCATAGGTCTAGTGGTTTTGACCTCCCTTGGTTTGAATCTCTAGCTCTTCATCTCCAGGAGACTGCAGAACTCCATTTTTACCTCTTGCACGCAGGCTGGAAATTGCCTCCAGCAGCAATCTGGGACAATTGTAAGAATTGCCTCATTTTTTTTTTCCTCCCTCTTCTCAGATCAAAGTGCTGTGAGGCTTGTCACCCAATACATGAGAAGTATTATTTCATTTATTTTGCCCATTTTTATAGTTGTTTAAGGGAGGAGGAGAAATCTATTCTCTGTTACTTCATCATGGCTGGAAGCAGAAATCTCTTGATCTCCTACAATGAATGCTTGTGATTGAAAAAAAAAAAAACAACTTGGAAAAAAAATTCAATACCTTCCAAAACATTTTTACTTGTTTATCACTTTGCTTTTTACCACCAATGAAATGTGAACATTTCGTCCACTTCTGTATACTTTAGCGCTTATATTTAATCTTTCTTTTCTACCTTCTATCTCTCTATATATAAAATCAGGGGCATGTGTATTTTACTTCTCTCATAGTAATCTGTGAATAGGCAGCAACAACTATATGATATCATACAAAAACTAAACTTACATATGGCATAAGCCTGGTAAGAATAAACATGAACACATACCAGGATGTCAAAAGATGGCTTTTGTCTGCTCATGATCATTTTCCCTTGTTCTTAGACAATGATTTGGGTGTGGTTGACACATACTTTGACTCAAGAATTGGGCACATGATTTGGGTTAGGAAATCAGAGTAGTTGTTTTAAGGATGGACAGAATCTCCCCAAGATCTTCCTGGAATGATTAAAAAATCATTAAATTTAAATGATTAGAAATATCTCTACTTTATTTCTCAGTTGCAAAAATTCATCTTGGTGGGTATTGTTGCTACAGAGTAGAGAGTGAAGGCAATATTGGAAACATGGAGACAAAAAGAGAGTGCAAAGTATTATGATAATATGACTTGGCCTCTGAGATTCACTGCCTAGATTTAATTTTAGAATTCGTGAGAATCTGTAATTTCCCGTGTATGTTTAAATTTGTCCCAACTGGGTTTCCGTCACCTGTAATAGTTAATAGTTTAGGCAAACTTTTAACCTGGAACACCAAGATGTGTGTGAAATACAAGGAAAATGGCTAGGTGCGTGGAAGGATAACTGGAGTCTTACAGCAGCCGCCTTCTCCCACAGCCTGCAGGCACCCCCATCTGTAGGGAGGCGGCCAGTAGGTGACCTGAGCCTCAGGGGATGGGCACCCAGGCAGATCCTGCCCCAACCTGTGGATTCCTGTCACTTCCAGGCAGTGCACGCTGTACCTCTGTGGCAGTGGGAGAATGGCAGAGCCACTTCTTGCTGACTTGAACACAGACCCCAGTCTCCATCTCTGAGCCCTTGGATCACAACCTTCCGAGGCCCCAAGCTGCTGTGGACCAGGCAGAGTGACAGTTACACATCCACAGTGTTTCTGTGGCTTTCATCTCGATGGAAGTTGCCTCGGTTATTTCAGCTTCTCGTTTCTGCCTTGGGCAATGAGAGGCAGGTGGATATGGGGTGCCTGGGGGAAAGACAACATCGAAGGGTTCAAGTGCTCATACACTCCTGAGGAAGACCCTTGCTGCCTTCATCATCCCACCTTGTTGACTGGGGCGTCCCTCTCCCAGTTGTCCTTTGGCAGAGGTACAGAACACTGGTAAGATACCCCTTGGACCATTTCCAGAAAGTTCTCTGATTAAGATAGTGTTGCCAAGGGTCTCCTGAGTCAAGAGGCCAAGTCTCAGTTCTGCTACTGATGGACCCCCAGGACATCTCCACAAACCTGCACCAAGAAGAAATCACCCCGCCATTCATAAAACACTCCAGGATGTCCAAAAGAGTGCAGGATTTCACTGAAGTGTCATTGCAGTACAAGGATAATGTATTTTCCAATAACAACTCCCTTTCCAGGTTGCAAAATGGGTTTGGCAAGAACCATGTCACTGATAGACAAATCATGCTAAGGTATGCTTTAAAAGAAGAATTTTAGGGGCTGGGGTTGTAGCTCAATGCTAAAGCACTTGCCTAGCCTGTGTGAGGCACTGGGTTTGAGTCTCAGTACTGCATATAAATAAAATAAAGGTTCATCAACAATTAAAAAATTTTTTTAAAAGTAGACTTTTAAAAAATAATATTATTGCCTGGGCATGGTGGTGCACATCTGTACTCCCAGCTACTGTGGAGGCTGAGGCAGGAGGGTTGCAAATTCAAGGATAGCCTCAGCAACTTACAAGGCCCTAAGCAACTCAGCGAGAACCTGTTTCAGGTCTCAGTTGTGACACTCTAAAATCTCACAAAATCAGCCCCATTCTTTTGCCCATGGTACTCCTCCACTTATTTGAAAACCACTTCCGGTCGTTTCTAGAACCTTCCTTTCTGTTCAATGACATGAGGCCTGAGGAGCTGCTTCAGAGGGGAGCCGTCTATTGTCCATTCCTTCTTCCTCTCCAGCGGACCGGGGATCTCAATGCCATTCTCTCTGCACCAGTGGCTTCTGCCTCGAGCATCTTGCTCATCTCTGGGGTCTCCTGGGGCCACACTCACCCCTTAGCCCAGCGGGTCAGCAGGACTCCTAGATGCCAGCCCAGCTGGCCAGCCCCAACAAAGCAGAGTTCTGGTGGACGGTTTCCCAATACACATTCCTGCCTCGGCAAATTATCTCCAGGAACACAGAGAGGAGGAAGGCAGGGGAGGGAGATGCCAGCGTAAGAAACCAAGTCAGTCCTTCCAGACCAGCCAGTGCCTCCGGCTGGCTCTGGGTAGAAAGGGGAGATTGCAGCCTGAGCTTCTCCCCAGAGGGGGAAGGGGCAGATCGAGTTGCCTTTCTCCCTGCCCCGCCCTGAGGAATGGGCCTGGGGACACAGCGGCCCTTTCTCTGCCCTGATATCTTTGAGTCAAGGCGCCGTGTTGACCAAGCGGGTCAGAAACAGGACTGCAAAGCCATTGTCCGAACTGCCCAGGGAGGATGCGGCCAGCATTCCTAGGTGTGTTTGCGAGTGTGGCTGAGAGAGGAGGTGCCAAGGGAGACACTGGCACAGCCAGCCTGCCTTGGGAGGCCAGAAGTCCCCGGGGACAAGGAGGTACTTCAGATGAAATCCCTCCCAGGAGCACACCCAGTGTCACCCCCAACCACCGTCGAGGTCTGGCCCTGCGCTCAAGACCTGCCAGGTGACTTTCACCGTGACACACTGTTCATTACAACAGAAGTCCTCTGGCTTCCCAGAACCCAGTCGCATATCACGTGGCCAACTTTCCAAACTTTTAAAGATTCTAGAAAATTTGACTCATTTATTTATTGCTTATACATTATTCTTCCAAGTGATACCATGATACCACTGAAATCATTGAAAATTCCATGTGATAAATATCCATAAAGTTGTTACCTCATGGACTTACAGACAGAAGACAAGTAACAACATGGATTGAAAAAAAGAAAAAGAAAACAACCATATTAGAAGACAAACTAAGAAAGTTTAGCTCTGAGCTTGTACAATTAGATAAGAAAGAAAAAACAAGTTAGGTTACAGAATGTTTTCCAGGTATGGTGGTGTAATCCCAGTGTGCAGGAGGCTGAGGCAGGAGGATTGTAAGTTTGAGGCCAGCCTCAGCAACTTGGACCCTCAGTAACTTAGCATGATCTTGTCTTGAAAATAAAAAATAAGAAGCCATGGGATGAAGCTCAGTGATAGAGCTATATCCCATGGGTTCAATCCCTAGTACAAAAAATAAAAAACACGCATATATCCCCTCTTTAATTAAAGAGAACATACAGATCCACCAGGAGATGTTGCCTTGGCAAATTTCAAAAAAAGGATCATTTACAAAAATAGAATTTACGTGCAACTTTTTAGAAATTCATCTACTATGTATATAAGACCTATGCTTATTCGTGAGTATGCCTTGTCTATTTGGAGGTACATATAAATCTCTCTGCCATCTACAGTCTCTTCTTGTATACGTATTTCACAGATTTCAATTGCAACTTCCACAGACTGCACGACCTCATCTGTTTCAGTGTGTAGCAATGGCTGCGTGTCATGAGGAAGAGTCGGGATCTGGTAGGAAAGAAGGTAATCCCACAACTCCTCTGCCCTCCGAGGTCGCCGAGCTGATCCTACACAAGTTTGGTTGTCTTATAATCTAGGGCCCTTGCCCCCACGGGGGGAAAGGAATGGTCAGTCTTGCTAAGGCCAAGACCCTAAGGCTGCGACCCAGAGGCCTGGAGAAAGCTCTTTGGCACCCAGATGTCCTGCCCCAGGATGTTTCTGTCTAAACCCATCCCATGGGCCAAGACTGGCATATGACTGGGCGCCTGCTCAGCTCCCATTTGGACTCCACTCCCTGCTGGCCCTGGAACCCTGCCCCAAACCACAGCTGCCTGGCTTGGGGCCTGACCCTCTGCCTCCTCCTTGCCAGAATACTCTCTTTTTTTCTGGAGGGCAGGAACTTGTCATTGTACTGCTCCTTCAGCTACTGTGAAGGGTCCTCCTTCCACCCTGATGACCCAGACAGCCTCCACCCCTATGTAGTGAGCCACTATTTTGTGGTCTCTGTCCCTCTGTCCAGAGACCCTACCTCTCCCACGTCTTCACCTCTTGGATTAAACCTGTTGGAAGTTTAGACCCAAGTCCACCAAGCCTGTGCGTGGTCATGATGCCAAGCTGTCCTCCTTAGAAGCCAGCCTTTCCCCACCAACTCACTGTCTTAAAAAGGTGATGAAAGCAGATGGACATGTCATCTTTCCCGAAGGTGGTCCAGGCCCCTAACACCAGGGGGTTATTTATAGACAGTGCCCAGGGAGGGGGTGCTACTCCTCCACCCCACAAGCAGAATCAGGAGGAAACTCAAAAGAGTCGAAAGTTACCACACTGTGTTCAAAGGCACAAAGTTTTCTACTTCTCCTGGCCAAATTGCTATAAAGAAGCAGAATATATGTCCCATGGCCAACCCCTTAGAGACAAAGAGGTAAAATGACCTGTTCAATCCCAACCTTTATGATGGGGAACCATGAGAAAGAGCTGAAATATTCCCTGAACCTCAGAGGCTTTCCAGAAGAGGAGAATACTTTGGAATCAGAAGAGGAGAATACTTTGGAATTTCTTGGGACAAATCCAAGGTTGAGGGGAGGTAAGAGGGTGAGACTGTATCAGCTGATTGTGTCCCATAGAAACAATTTCCAGGTACCTGCAGCAATGGACGTGGCTAACCAGAAGGGACCACATGTGATCTTTGAGAGGCTGTCAGGAAAAACTGCCAAGCCTGGGTTGTGGGGTATGTGCTTCCTGAGGCTGAGGGGTCCTAGAGGGTACCAACCACCGATGATTGATGAATGGCGGCGTAGCCCTATGTTTGGAAGAAAGCCATGTCTGTAACTAAGTATGGGAAGCAGTTCTGCAGCGGCTGGTCCATAGCAGGCTCCCAGGGTACATTCACAGCTTCGGACACTGGAGACCCCACCACTGATGTAGGGACCGAGCCATGGCCCCTGGGGCTGGAAGAGACTGCCTGAGGTGGTCCAGGACTTCTCTCAGGTGGAAGCAAGCTCCTCTGTAGCTGCCATGCCTCTGGAGGGACCTTGAGAAGTCAAGGCTCTGTGGAGGGAAATATGTTCTCTTCTTTTCCACCTGATTCTGTCCTCCAAGAAAATGTTCCTATGGAAAACAGAGAGACAGGAACTTGAAGGTGGGCCAGCAGAGGCCGAGACAAGGCGTGAGAATAAAACATTGATGGGCCACTGTAGTTTTGCTCTTCAAAGTGCCTAGACCCCATTAGCTGGGGCCTGTCTTTTGTAACTTCAATTACAAGTGCCCAGGTATTTATTTTCTGGTAGTGATTAAAAAGTAGATAAAATTCATAAATAGCAAAGCTACATAGCTTAAGCAACCTTCAAATAGAGCGGTTAACAGAATGCAATTACATAAAGAAGTACATCTGATGTTAGATGTGCCAAAAAGCTAAACAAAATAGAAAGAAAATCCATCATTCCGGCCAAATAAAACAGGGAGTGATTATGGACAATTGAGTTCTTTTCTTAACACAAGGAAGTCCTAACCGGCAGTTTGGCCGAGTGCTTCAAGATGGGAAAACACCCAAACCAGCCTCTCCTGTACCTTCTTCAGCTCTGCAAAAACCCAGGCACAGACTGAGGTTTCTGCTGGGAAGAGACGGCTGTGTGGCAGGCACTGCTGGACCAGGAGCTACAGAGAACTCGTGGCTGTGGTCTGCACTGCGGCTTAGAGGCCTGCTACCGGGAAGCCACAGGGACAGGCTTGGACGTGTGGACAGTGGTCACAGGAGAGGCGTCCACTGAGAAGGAGGAAAGGAGACAAGGTAGTTATTAAATAGCAAAAATAGTTTGAAAGCAAACTTTGCTAACTGTGACCGTCCCCTTGTGTTACCATAATAAAATACCATGCATTGGGTGGCTTGTCAGCAATAGAAACTTACTTCTCCCAATTCTGGAGGCTGGAAGTCCAGGATCAAGGTACCAGCAGATTTGGTGTCTGGTTCATGGACGACCCTTTCAAGCTATGCTCTCACCTGGTGGAAGGGGCCAGCTGTTTTTTTTTAACAACTGAAATTCCATTCATCACCTCTCAAGGGCCCCACCTCCTGGGCAGGGGATGTGGCTTGGTGATAGAGTGCTTGC